CCTGCTTCAACCACTATACGATTTGATGAAACCATGCCTAAGAGTCCAAAAACAATGAAGTAATGATGCTTGAACAGAATTATTTTAAATATGGCGGGAAGAGATAAATTTTCTGGAATCGGCTCATCACAACCTTCGTGCAATTGAGCAACGTTCAAACGATCAACCTAACTGCAGATAAACAGGTAAAACTCTTTCATAATCCTCAATCACTCACCAGCTTAACAACATACACCAAATTAGTACCTAACTCTCTTGACTAGAATTGAACGCACGGGCTTACTCAAGTGCTGAATGATATGAGATTTCTCTCTTCTGTGCAGAAACGATAAAAAAACTTGCTCATTCACAAACAGTTTTTCAAACATCAGTTTGAAACACATCAAACATCAGTTCACAAACATCAACGGCAGCAATCATCCTTCACTCAACTCAGGAAAAAAAAAAGTTACCGAACACGAACGATAATCTCAACCTCACGCTGTGAATTGAATTACATCTCCAATTAAATTATATTAGATTCTCAGCAAAAATGTTCAGCACAGACCTCATACATCACAACTTTGCATATATCCCACGAATAAGAACTGAGCCGCCATTGGTGAAATGACACTTATAAATGTGTGAAATGCGTTTCATGGTGTGACCGTGACCAGACAAATGTAATATTCACAACATCTTAATTTCAAAATAAAGTTTAAAAGGAAACTCGTTGACCTCGTGGAAGTAAAAACGAAGAAAAAACATTTAAAATTTTCCCGTGATTAAATTGATTACTTTGCCTTCGGGCACACAGTGAGAATTTTATGAAAAATTTATTTTTATATTGTTGCTCCACTGTTAGTGGTCAGCTTGTTGTTGAATGTAATTCAAAAGCTCAAAACATCAACTAATATTACAGTATATGAAATAAAGGAATATTAATATGATATAAAGGAATATGATATATGGAATATTTTATATGATATAAAGGAATATTTATGAAAGTCGACAATTAAGCAACCCAAAACCATTTGATATTTACTTATTTAAGCAAAATCAATACGCAGACTTCAAGCAATCATCCATTTAATGGCCTGCCCATAGTGTGGCTCTACTATTAAATTCACTTTAGGGTTCTTGCTGATCAATTTAGGCTCCATAGAGCCATTGATTAGAGTGTGACTGGATTATTCTGCGTCGAGGATCATCTTTTGGTCAATTATGTTGATGATGGATAGCATCATTCCTTATCCTTTAGACATCTCACTCATTTTTATCATATTCAGGAAAAGGAAACTTCGATGTATACTCTGCAGCTAATGAGCTGCGGTCTGCTTCTGCTTTATGTTTGCATGTATTAACTGGTGCTTCGGATATTTTTTAAAGAAATATTGCAATATTTTTGCGAGTGAAGCCGAAATTACTCGTTTTACACTTTCTTTGGAGCTTAATTTTTCAATTACCGGTCTCATTTTTTTCTTAATCCAGAATATTTGCCTGATATGAAACAGTGCAAAAGTACGAGGAAGCTGATGCCGACTTACCTGGATACTTATGGTAATGCAAAATTTATTGTAAATTATAACTTTCCGATTTTGTGAAGAATGAGGAATGAATTTTATGAAATTCGTCTTTTCATCAGAGTGAACATTGAACTAGGAAAATAAACAATTGTAGGACACCTTTTATTTTATTTTCTATTCAGGTCTACATATTTAGAAAGATTTGTTGCCTGTGATGCTAAGTCTCCTACGGCATTTACAATAGACAATTTATACAATGATATTGCTTATCTAAACCTATTCGTATACAATTTCAAGATGCTTGAGAGAATATTAGAAGATCTGCCCAAATACGGCGTTTCTATAGTCAAGAAAAACAACGATGTTCTTTATATACAAAAAAATAGATAACATTCACTGGAAAACGTTATTCACTCAAAGTCGATGCAACTGGGAATTTTATCGTGTTGTATTGCCGAAAAATTCTTCGATAATCTAAATTCTAGAATCCAGTTTTAATTGTGCTTCTCCTTGAATTCTACAAATCCTTAAAATTGTACTAAAGTACAATTTGTAGAACGAATAAACGTCCTGATGCGTAAGAAGTGAAAAAGAATGTCTCAATTAAAAAAAAATGCAAATTCTTGCAGGATATATTTTCAGTGAATTCTAGAGTGACGAACAACTTGAACATGAGTTATGCGAAGAACGTTATCAAATAGCCTAATGTGTGACTCATGATGAAAACGCAGTTTTTGACAGGAACACAAAATTCTATAAGCTTAGCTATTTAGAAATTACACAGGACAGTTTGTGATCGACTGAATCTAAAGTAGATTCCCTACAAAATAACATGAATTTTGCATTAATTTACGTATATCAGCTGAAATTAGCATCTATAATAACTGACCTATTATAGACCTCGAGAAATCTGAGGATGAGAAGAACATGGAATTCATTTCATGTGAATCCAAACGCGCTCCCGTCGGGTCATAGATACGTTGCACCAGAAAAGATTATGCACACAGACATGGGCGCAGGTATATAGGCAATGAACATATTTACACGCTAATCAAATCAAATGCTGATGGAACGCAATCATCGGATGACAACCATCCATGAATGGTTTGTAAAATCCTTATATTTGGATACGCCACTTTTTTATGACTTCATTTATTTGCAAACATTCATCGGAACAGATATTATGAAAAAAGTCTAGCCAAAGAATTGGCATTAGGTTATAAGAGAGACAAATTTTACCGATTACCTAGCATTTTATCTAAATTTCTTTATAACTTCCAACATAAATCATAATTTTTAATGTGCATTACTGTGTAAAATAAATCCAGAATTATTGGTATTATACGTCGAAAATACATACAAATATATTTTAGATTCATCCGTTTAGTTTTAACGATATTCACATACAAACAAATCAACGAATTATAATTAATCGTATACTGCATGTAATGAGGACAGATATATCACTAAAATACACATACTTTACAAACTGAGAAGTTATGCGACGGTAAGCATAACAGCCGCAAATAATTATCACAACTAAATGGTTAGACATGATTCATTCACGACAGAGCTGCAGAACTAATTCTTAGGTTGACAGATTCAATATTTTTCTTGATCATATTCTTGAAATTGAAAAGGATTTTATTTGATGAAATATTTATATATTCCTAAGTAAGTACCGTTTTTCCATTATTTTACTGTCCTCCTAAAATTCAACGTTATATATTTAAATTGCTGCACACATCACCATCATAAAAAAACAAAATAGCTTGTAGGCTTCCTTTAACCGCTTTTTTTTTATTGTGACGAAAAAATATGAAGAATTCTATTATGTCACATCTGAATCTCTTCGATTCAGTTGCTACTTACCTAACCTTGCCATGCTCGTGAGTACCAGATGATTTTATATTTAGAAATTAAAAGTAAAAATAAATAAACCTTTGTCTTTAGGTTGAAAATTTAGAAGCCAATTGCCAATGAAAATTCTCCAATAGGAAGGCTTGGTCAACTCATGGGCGTTTCTGGTTGAAATGTCAGAATGCATCAGTCTCCCCTGAATCTGCTAAGGTGAGATTCTAAGGCCCGCCCTCAGGTCGTAAATACACTTTGGGGAGATGGCCCCCCTTCCTGAGACAGTTTGCAGGGGGCACTTCCGAAATGAAATCAGGAAGGGGGAGTTTGGTTGAGGGAGCGCAAAAGAAGGGAGTGAACTCCAGTTTAAATCACCACCTCGTGGTCCGATTCACATGCGCTACACTGTTCTTCGACGGTGTTATCAGCCAATTAAAAGTCTGCGTAGTTAATTTCAAGGTCCATGAATGTTCGATAATAATGCACAGAATTTACAATATAGTTAACGCTCAAATATAATATAGTTAACGTTAACGCTAACATTATTATTTCAAATTTTGATTAACAGATTGCATCCGTGTCATTCGACCAAAAATAATATCAATTCTCCAGCCCTGTCAGTGACTGATATCGTATCGAGATCCTCCAGTGGTCGAAGAGTTTCAGACAGTGAGGCATGAAAATTTTGCCAGCGCGCAAATGAAATCTAAGCGTGACTTCAAAAGTGTCCCTCTAAGAACAAATTTACAACAAAAAGTTTCGCTCTTCGGTTTCATTTTCATGACATTATCATCATGTCTCACTGCCTGAGTTATCCATTAAACGGTCCGGTCGAGTGACATGTTCGAGCAGAACTGAGAGGCTGATCATCATGCAGACAACAACAATCTTGCAGCAGCGATATTTTCTTATAGATTAGTGTTCATAAATGAAGCAAAAACTTATTTGCAGCGATGAAATCTGCTTGGGGAATATTGTTGATAAAAGTAGATAAAATTAATAAAAATTTTCCCACGAGAGATTTTTTAGTAAGTGTATAGTTTGAGTAGCTAATGCATTAAATAATATTTAGTAACATTCAAGCCAATAATTCAATTGTAAGTTCGTTCGTCATGTTTTCTCTATGAAGACATTCAAATCCACAATTCGCACATTAGTGAGTGCACAAAGCTATAGAAGTCAATAATTATTTTTTATGTCATATATGAAACAGTTTTACATTCGAAAGCTCAGTGTATAATTTTTTACACGTTCAAAAATGTTTGAATCTTTATATTATATCTTCATGATTAACTTTTCTCCGCGGAAAAGAGGATCTGAACATAAAACGAACATAAAAATGATAAAATTGCGCACGTTAACAAATAGAAAATTACATACGAGTTGTTTAATCATTCAGAATTTAGTATTAAGATAGAATTCTGCTACGCATTTGGTTCTTTGTAATAAATTATTTGTACGGTTAAATCGAACAGTTCACTGTGACTATGGCGAATCGAGAGAAAATTCTTATGAACATTTTTGCTCATCTCACATTTTTTTCAAGAAAGAGTATTTTTTAACAATTCATATTTTAAAAACAGATATAATTTTTGCGTAGGTCCGCGAGATGGTGTAGTAGCCGCGAGCTGCATTGTATGCATACCCGCCGTACCCGGGGCCGTCCACTCGTTACGACCCCTGACAGCGCGAGAGTTACCACGACCAGGCGGAACCCTGCACAAAAAATATACAATTTAGAGAGTTTTTTAAAATAATTTCTATATTTATAACTTTGTTTGTGCGGAACCCTGCGCAAAAATATACAATCTAGAGAATTTTTTAATACTTTTTAAATATAAAGCATTGTATGCGCGGAACCCTGCACAAAAAATATCCAATTTAGAGAGTTTTTAATACTTTTTAAATATAAATCATTGTATGCGCGGAACCCTGCACAGAAATATCCAATTTAGAGAATTTTTTGATACTTTTTAAATATATATGCCATTATATTTAATGAATGCAAAAATAAAAGGTTTTTAGTGAATCATTTATCATCCTAAAGTTATTACAGCGATATCATTGTTGTAAGCGAGTGTCAAAAAATATGTTTTTGAGTGAGTTTTTATCAACCATGAGTTTTTACATGAAAATCATAATGTGTGAGTGCCTGCCAAAAATATGTATTAAAAAATTTTGCTGTTCTTAGAGTTATTGCATGAACATCGTTGAATGTGTATGACTCGGAAAGGGGAGTTTTCTAACAGAGTTACAACATGAGCATCATTGTATGCGAGTGTCTGCGATGAAAAAATATTTTGTGTTAGTTATTCATTAACCTAAAGTTATTACATGAACATCATTGTGAACAAGTGACTGTCGAAATAAAATATTTTTGAACGAGATTTTTATCAACCTTAGAGTTATTACGTGTGCTTGATTATTTACAAGTGACTGCAAAAACATAAAAATACTTCTATGATATTTAAACATCTTGGAAGAAAGATTATTATACAAGACAAGAATATAATTGTGTGCCGGTCCTTTTGAAAAATAACTCAGTTTGTTATCAACAATTGCTTAGTAATTGCATGTTTATAAAAATAAGCAAACATGGGTTCTGTCCGGTCACTAAAAGGCATTTCGTACATTTGAATTACTTGTAAATGTTGGAATTTGTAAACTGTTCTGCATGGTGTGAATGGCCGAGAACGGTGGATGTGGAAAACAATCGGTTAAAAATGATAATAATAAGTAAATATCAGTGATTAAAAACGATTGTATATAATCTGCAACCACTACTGTGGAAGTTACAGAGCGTTTTTTCGATCCATTACTAATTTTGGAGTCAAAGTGGTCATTTCTTTTTACCATATTAATGAAAATATATTAGAAAATGAAATTCTAACTTCGTCTACGGGATCTTTATGTGTAAAACGCATTGACAAGCAGCGAGGAGAATGAGCTGCTATTCAGATCAACTGCATTTTGGGGTAGCTTGTAAAACGGAACCGTGAAAGGTATCGTGGAAGAATATTAATAAACCTTATACCTCAAATTAGTTATTTAGTTGGTAATTGATATCGATTTCCGCGAAGACCATCATCGAAAATTTAATTTACTGCGATTCTTGAATATTCTTTATCCTTAAAAATTCCCAAAAATTTAATCCACTCACCCCACTAAAGATAATGAAATTCATAGCAGATATTGAATTAAAAAAAATAGAAAGAATTTCATTTCAAAAGAGTACTTCCTTTACTAATTGACAATAAATAATGTTGCTATTCGTTATGTAAAATGTGAGATTTTCGACCACTCTCTGTGATAAAACTGCACGGAAGGTAATATACTGGAAATGCACATTCATTGTGCTACATTTTATACAGTACTGTATCGACACATCTTTAGTGGCATTTCAAGTAAGTTTTTCAGCCGTGAATATGGAAAGAATTAAATTCAATTAGGAACAAACACTTAGAAATTGTTCATTTTATTGCATCACGTTGTATTGTTTATAATTATCACTTAAATAAATTGAGCAAGAAATTCTGAATTGAAGATTATCATAATGAATTTTTATACTTATTTAAGAAAAATGATTTTGAAATTGTTTATTTCAGTTCAATACGTTCGTTGTATAATATAAGTACTTTATTCAATGAATAAAGAACTTATTAATTAGTTATTGTTAAACAGTACGTAACACATCCGAAGATTTATTGGCAATAACTTGGAGTATCATGTGCATCATCAGTTGGTGGAGCGACCATGCATTTAGCGAGTGCAAAAAAGATACTAATAAATAATCTAAAAAAATCTATAGAGAAGGGCTGATTAAAGGCTACCAAAGGACAGATTATCCTCTCAGCTATCAAATGAATAAAGTTTTAAAATCTCCTTGAAAAAAAATTTTAAAATTCCTATACCATCTCATAGATGATGGCATACAAACGTGTAAAAATTTCTCATACGATTTTGCATTGCCACTAAATACTATTTGAACTATGATAAATCTAAGTTTTTTTCGTTGGACGAGTTTCTCTGCGCTTGTATACAACTTTCCTCCATCTGTTTGTAATTTTGAAAGTTCACAAAAAGAATGAATTTTTTTTCACTGCCGCTTAAATGATTTCGTATGCCTAATATGAAAAACTTTTTTTCAGATATTATTCATTTTCGGTTTGAGCTAAACTTAAACTTTGTTGTGTGAAATTATTCAAGTGTTTGATAAGTAGGTGGCATAACTTTTTTCACTGATGACAAATATAAAATCAAAGTTCAGAATATCTTTTTTGTTTCTCAGCTGAATGAATTTAAAATCAACATAAACTCACTTTACAGCAACGAAAAAATAAACTTTCCATGTTCTGGCGTAAAATTTTATTAGTATCGAGTGAGTCGAATATTACACTTCTAATAAATACTTCAGTGTGTATTGCAGCTAGCTCAAAATAGCGCCTGATAAGAGCACAACAAGCAGACGTATACACCTCTTGTCCCTGAGCCAGTATCAATAAAGCTGTGTTATCGTGGCCCAACCGAACCTTGACCGCTCACACATCGTTCACGCGTCAACAACCAGATAAGCCACATTACTGGCCCATACACTTAAGAAAAACTCTGCTAACGCAGCCAACTATTTGTTCATGTTGAGCAATAGATTAGAAATTGAAAAGTCAACATAAATGCCGGTGCAATGGAATTTTTTACGAAAATATTGCTTGGGGTCTTAATCTGGATATAAAAACGAAGATTTCAATTATCATAATTCCAGTGGGATATTTAGTTGCCATGTAGTATTAATTTGATGGCGCTATAATATTACACGAACGAAAATAATCCGCATATGAAATGAGGTCGTAAAAAGTTAAAAATACTATATTTCAGTACTCACTGCAGTGAGTGACAGAGGGCGCATTTTCTCGTCGACGAAAACGTGAAGTCACGGACGGACAGACAGACAGACGGACATAGCGAGCACAATAGTGAATTTTTTCATAAATCAGAAAATGTGCTAAAAAGAGGCTAATGCAGTTCATTCGAACGGCCGTTAGTTAATTGTAGACAGTAAGGTTCAAATGCTCTTACAAATTGCTGCTGTTTTTTGTATAGGAAATAAAAATTTGAAATAAATCAAACATTTTTTATTATTATTCTAATTTCATTAGAAATTTTGGAAAGTTAGCGAGACAGAAATTTTCCAAGGTTGCTTCCACTTTTCAATTTTTGTTATTTGGGTATTCTTGTACCGGAGTAAGTCTTAGATCCATGATATATACTCTATAAATAAAAATGAATAGCACTGAGTGCTAGCAGTGATGTACACTGTAATCTAAAACTCAATTTTTGATACTAGCTTGCATATAAAGTACTAGAAATTTCAGAGAAAATATTGAAACAAGTTTAGTACTACTTCGTCTGTTGCTTGTTTTTACATGTCAAATTTAGTCCACTTATCTTGATGAAGACCGAAATATGGATTCCAAAAACCTTCAAGTTCAGCGTCTTACTTTCTGGCGAACTGAAACCGCAAAGTAACCTCCGAATGAAACTGGTTCAGTGACCGGATCGAGTTTAACACTGAGATCACCTGAGAAACAATAGCTTAAGAACCTTGATAGAAACAGGAAATAGAGCAGTGAATAAAGTTCATACTCACACCGATTTATCACATATATCGTAATTATTTATATGATACATAAATAAGCGATGCTCTAGTTTTTTTTACAGTTTATGAATGCTAGTCGATGATCCCAAGCAAATTACAATAAATATTTTTCGTAAATTCATGCTTAATCACGAATAACAGTTAATTTAATAAAAAAATTAGTTACAGTATTATGTTAAAGAATTTTAGTATTCTCTCAGCCGAACTAAATATGAACCAAAGCGAAAATGAAATGCAAATAGTGTGAGATATATGTTTTGACAAACGCATAACCGTTTTTTCTTTGAAATTCTAAAAATTTGAAATTTGTCTCTATAGTTGAAAATTTTTTACTAATTAACCCACTCCATACACCAGAGTTATCTGATTTCATCATGCCCAACCTTATTTTTATAAATTTAACATGGCTGATCATGACGGTTTCAATTTTGCCGGGAATGCTCTATGAAAACACAAGCTTGATTTTCGTTACTAAAAAAGTTACCTACTACACTCTCGGTCATCTTCTGCTAATTTTCTTATAAAAACGCAATTTGCACTAGCTTGCTTCTTCCTTATCCCAAACGATGCCGAGATTTCCTGGGTCTCCATCCATCACCGATCGATTACTCACCAGCTCTTCCTTCCTACATCTCACCCAATATTGACGATATACAAGTGAATAAACCTCGAAAAATATAACTCAGTACTCACTGCAGTGAGTGACAGAGAGCGCATTTTCTCGTCGACGAAAAGTTGAAGTCACGGACGGACAGACAGACGGACAGACAGACAGACGGACGGACGGACATGGCGAGCACAATAGTGCATTTCTTCCATAAATGAGAAAATGCGCTAAAAAGTAGTGCTTTGGGCCATATTTTTCACTGACGAATTTCTCTTTAATGCTTAATTTTATTTAGACGCTATTATACGTATATTACATTATTATATTCTTACATATCATATCATTTTATTTTACATAGTCGGATCAGTGAATGCAAGTTAATTTTATTATTTATCCAACGTGATCGATATTATTTATCCGATATTATATCGGATATTATATATCCGATACGTGATC